GGCGTGGCCATCCCCCCTGGGGGGTGATTTCTCGCTTTCTGTCTCTATGTCTCTCTCTCTCTTTCTGGTGAGCGCACGCACCCTATAGAGAAAACCTCTCCAAAAAAAAAAAGAAAGAAAGAAAGGAAGGAAGGAAGTCCTATGAGATAATGGCATTTTACACCCACATTATAGAAGAGGGAACGCATGGGACCAGAAGTTGGTGTAATGGCTATGTCACTGGACTCTCATGTAGTCGACTGGGGTTCGAGTTCCGGACCCAGTGACTTAAACTCATACTGGGTTCATGTGCGTGTGTGCCCAACATCCCGAGAGAACGGAGGAGAAGGGATTGTGGCATGACCAACCCCCCTGGAGGTGATTTCTCACTTTCTGACTCTGGCAAGCATGTGCCCTATACCAAAAACCTCTCAAAAAAAAAAAAAAAAAAGAGGAAACTACCAGCAGGTGGCCTGGTGATTAAGGCGCTGGACACTCCCACATAATCGAGCATGGGAGCATGGTTGGAGTCCTGGACCTGGTAGCTTGCTTTCTTACTTCCTCTCTCTGTCTCTTTCTCACTCTCTGGTCAAGTTAAAATAAATGGATGGATAAATAAAATTAAATACATTTTTTAAAAAGGGATACTGAGGCATAGAGAGGCAAGGAAGGCTCCCAGTGGAGGGATCTATCTGGTCAAGGTTTGCAGGCCCCACCGCCAGAGGGAAGGCCCCGTCCTGGCGCCATCACCGGTGCCAGCCGCAGTCCTGGTAAGAGCAACTGCAACCCAACTCGGCCGCCCATCCCCGCTGTCGCCACGGCAACAGCCTGTGCGCATGCGCTTTTGGGCACGCTCGCCCGGGCTGGAGGCACGCGAAGCCAGACGCACGCCGGGCGGAAGGAGGCCCGGCGGGCAGGGTGGCGGGAGAGCCAGGCTGGCTTTTAAAGGGACCATCGCTGTCCTCTGCCCATCCGCTGGTAGGGACTGCTGACGGTGAGGGCTGAGTGGCCCCGGGAATGGGGATCGAGGAGTTAGAAGAGCAGCAGGGCTGTGCGAGGTGACAAGGGGAGGAGGCTCTGTAGACACTCTGCCAGGGCATCGGGATGGTGGGGATGGCTCTTCCCAGGGGACAGTGCAGAGTAAGGGCTGTGGAGCTGCACTTGGTGGCTGGGGGACTAGGGGACAGAGGCGGGTAAAGAAGCATCACGAGCCCGTTTGGGACAGTTACCCTCTCCCCACCCCCCTACTCTCAGCATTCTGCCACCGCTACCCTGTCGGGCTGCTCGGCCATGGCCCGGCCTCCTGCCCCGGGCTCGGTGATTGTCCCGGACTGGCACGAGAGCGCCGAGGGCAAGGAGTACCTGCCCTGCATCCTGCGCAGGAACCGCCGGCGCATGTTTGGTGAGTGTCGGCTCCCCCAGCCTCTGGCCCGTCACTTGGCACTCCCTGGGAAGAGAAGTGTCACCTGTTGCTCCCTGGGGGACGGTAGGGAAGCAGGAAGATGAGAGCCTGCACCACTGCACTCCTCAGCCTTGGGGACTCCTGGAAGCCCCTTCCCTGGGGACCCCCCCAGAAATCTCCTTAGAGCATATTCCATTCTCAGAGCCTGGGACATGGAAACAGCGGAAACTCTGCCAGCAACTACTGTCACCAGAGATGCTGTTGACGAGCTCCCTCTGCCAGGCCCTCTGCTGGGCACTCTATTTGGTGGATCCCCTCCCGCCTTCAACCTTCTCTGCAGCAGTTCTCCAGACTTGGCCAAGGTCACGCCAAGTAAAGCCCAGCCTCCTCCATATTCTGCTGTGCAGGAGACACTGCCGCCCCAGGGACCCTAAGGAGGGGATAGCCCACAAGTTAGGACTTTGGGTCCTCAGCCTATAGATGTGTCATAGCTTTTATTGCTTTGTGCAAGTTTTGTTTGTTTTTTTGTCATTGTGAGAGGGCACATGTGCCTGACAGACAGAGAGGAAGAAAGAGAAAGCACCCTGCAGTGGGGCATGGTCACGCCACAATCTCTTCTTCATTTCTCTGTCCTGTTGGGGTCTGAGTCATGGATGCACACACATACCCAGCATGTTTTAGAAGCTGCTGGGGCCAGGATTCGGATGACTGTGGGATCTGGCTTTCTTAACCCCTGCACTACAGGGCTAGACACAGTGTTACATTTAAAACATCCATAAAGATCTTGATATATTGGACTGGCCCCATGGCCTACTGGCTAAAGAAGGGCATCCCACATGGCCTATCGCATAGTTTGAATCCTGGACCCCAGGGCTTGCGAAACTTGCTAGGTTCATATGTGTGAGTGCCCAAAATTCCGACTGGGTGGAAAAATGGAAGAGACAGTGTGTGGCTGCAGTATGGCCACACCTCACTGGGAGGTGCTTTCTCCCGCTCCTCCATGTATGTGTCTCAAAATTAAAAAGACAAAAACAGTGGTCCAGCAGGTGGTGTGGAGGTTAAGGCACTGTATCCCACATGGCTGACTGCATGGTTCAAGTCCCAGATCCAGCAGCTGGAAAATCATGCTGTGCTTGTGTGTACATGGCCAAAGTCCTGACAGAAGAATGGAGAAGAAGGGATTGTGGCATGGCCATCTCCCATAGAGAGTGATTGCTCGCCTTCTTTCTGTCTCTCTCTACCTCTCTCTGGTGAGTGCTCACACCCTATAGCAAAAACAAACAAAAACTCTTGGGGCCAGCAGGTGGCGTGGTGCCAAAGGCACTGGACACTCCCACCTGGCCAACTGTGGTTTTAGTCCTGAACCTGGTGGCTTGCCTTCTGACTTTCCCGCTCTCTCTCTCTCTCTCTCTCTCTGTTTCTCTCTGGTCAAATTAAAATAAATGAATGAATAAATAAAATTAAACAATTCTTTAAAAAAAAAAACCACTCAATATATTGATTCTATAGTGTTTACTTGTAGTAATTGAGATACTTTTTTCTAATTCTCTGTTAAGGAAGGAGTTGTGAAAAACCATGCTCTCATATGTGTGAAATCTAGAACATATAATAGTATTTTTTTAAAAATCTCATGTATCAAATGGAAAATAATTAGGTTTTAGGCCAACCCATCATATAGTGTTTAAGGCAGCTGGATCCCACATGGCAGTTGCACAGTTCAAGTCCCAGACCAGGTGGGCTGAGAACCACACTGGGTGCTGTATGTACCCCAAGTCCAGAAAGGAGGGGGAGATGGAGAAGGAATGGTGGCATGATCATATCATTTCCCTTGGGTGTGCCCCCCACCGTGTCTTTCCAGCAAGCACATGTGCCCTCTGGCAAAAAATGTTTAAAAAAGAATTGGTGTGTGTGTGTGGGGGGGCAGGTGGCATTGTGGTTAAGGGGCTGGACTCCCATATAGCTGACCCAGTTCAAATCCTGGACCTGGCAACTTCCTTTCTCACTTTCCTTCTCTCTCTCTGTCTCTCTGGTCAACTTAAAAAAATTAAAGTTAAATAATGACAATGAATAAAATTTAAAAAAAAGAAAGGAAAAAGAATTGGGGGGCCGGCAGGTGGTGGGTGGTTAGGGCAGCTGGACTCCCACATAGCTGACTGCAGTTCAAGTTCTGGACCTGGCAGCTTGCTTTCTCACTTTCCTTCTCTCTCTGGTCAACTTCAAAATAAAATAAAATAAAATAAAAAGTAAAGTAAAATAAAATATAAAATAAATAAAATTAAATAAAATATTTTTTAAAAAAAGAAAAGAAAAAAGAACTGGGTGTTATTTGGAGTGGGCCAAGGTTCTAGGCAGAGGCTCCAACCCAAGTTCTATTAAAATGCAGATTCTGGGGACCAGCAGAGGGCATAATGGTTATATCACCGGATTCCCATGTATGTAGTTTGAGTCCCAGACCCAGCAGCTTAAAACTCATGCCAGGTGCATGTGCAAACGTGCCAAAAATAACAAGAGGAGAATGGAGAAGGGATTGCATGGTGGCCATTCCCTCTGGGGGGGTGATTCTCGCTTTCTGTCTCTCTTTGGTGAGCACGGGCGCCCTATAGCAAAAATTTCTCTCTCTAAAAAAAATGCAGGGACCAGCAGATGGCATAATGACTACATCACTGGACTCCCACGTAGTCGACTGTGGTTCGAATCCCAGACCCAGTGGCTTAAACTCATGCCGGGCGCGTCTGCATGAGTGCCCAAGATCCCGAGAGGAGAATGGAGAAGGGATTGTGGTGTGGCCATCCCCTCTGGGTGATTTCTCTCTTTCTGTCTCTCTCTGTCTCTCTGGTGAACGCACACGCCCTATAGCAAAAACCTCTCCAAAAAAAAAGCAGATTCTGGGGCAGGCTTCATTTCCTGGTGATTAAGAGAGCAGGATCTGGGGCTGGTAGGTGGCGTGGTGGCTAAGGGCACTGGACTTCCATGTGGCTGACTGTGGTTCACATCCCGAACCTAGCAGCTTGCTTTCTCACTTTCCTTCTCTCCCTCTTTCTCTCTCTCTCTCTCTCTCTCATTCTGTCCCTCTCTGGTCAAATTAAAATAGATAAATAGGGACCAGCAGTTAGCATAATGGCTATGTCGCTGGACTCCCACGTAGTCCACCGTGGTTCGCGTCCCGGACCCGGTGGTTTAAAACTCACGCCGGGTGCGTG